CAAGTGTTAGAATGTTGCTTCCATTTCGGCCAAGAGAGGCCTGTTGAGATCATGACTGGATTGAGTTGTATCTCCAGGGGAGTTTGGGGAGAACTGATATCTTAACACAATTGAATGTTTCTACTCGTGAAGGTGGTGTACATCTCCACTGATGCAGATCTTTCATTTCTCCCCGCAGTGTTTTTCAGTTTTCATTGTATAGTTCTTACTAAGCTTGCCCTCAGCATTTCATATATTTGATGCTATCTTAAAATTTTAATTTTTAAATATTTCTAGAATATGACACTGTAACTGATGACTTGTGGCTATTGGTCTTGTATTCTATAACTTTGCTGACATCACTTATTTTAGATTCCATAGATTTTTCTACGTAGTCAATCATGTTGTCTGAATACTGGCAAGTTTATTTTTCCTAATTATTGGCTAAAATATTCAGTCTAATGTTAAATAGACATGTGAGAACAGAAATATTTTACTTGCTCATGATCTTAGGGAGAAAACCTTTTTTTCACCATTAAATTATGATATTAACTAACGATTTTCCTTCTGTTCCTGAGAGTTGTTTTTTTCTTAGTTAGGAATGGATAGTATACTATTTAAAGTGATTTTTTTTTTTTTGCATTTAATGAGATAATTTTATGGTGGCTTGTGCTTTTTTGTCTGTTAAAAGTAGAACAATGTAATTCATCAATTGAATCTCAAACCAGCCATCCACTTCCAGGATAAAGCCCAATTAGTGATGAAATATTGTTATTTTAAAATAAACTGCTACAATTTTAAGCTTTTTTGCATTTGTATTTATGGAGGTTATTGGTTGATAGTGTGTTTTTTTTTTTCTTTTTTGACAGGCAGAGTGGACAGTGAGAGAGAGAGATAAAGGTCTTCCTTTGCCGTTGGTTCACCCCTCCAATGGGCCGCTGCAGCTGGCGCACCTCGCTGATCTGATGGCAGGAGCCAGGTACTTCTCCTGGTCTCCCATGGGGTGCAGGGCCCAAGCACTTGGGCCATCCTCCACTGCACTCCCTGGCCACAGCAGAAAGCTGGCCTGGAAGAGGGGCAACCGGAACAGAATCCGGCGCCCCGACCGGGACTAGAACCTGGTGTGCCTGCGCCGCTAGGCGGAGGATTAGCCTAGTGAGCCGCGGCGCCGGCTGATAGTGTCTTTTTATTTATTTATTTTTTAATCAGAGTGCTGCTAAACTAGTAGATTGACTCAGAAGTGTCCCACCTCTTAAGTGATCTGGAAGAGTTTGTGTAAAATTGGTGTTATTTCCTCAAAGTTTGAGAGAACTACCAGTGAAGCCATTTCAGCCTCGAATTTTTTTTGTGGGAGAAGTTTCAATCCCAAATTCAGTTTCTTTAATAGATGTAGACATTCAAGTTATTTATTCTTGGTTGCACTTGTTAATTATCTTTCCAATAATGTATTTCATTATTTGCCTAATTTATTGGCATGTTGTTTTTATTCTTTTGTTATCTGCAGATATGTAGTTATACTACCTCATTGTCAAATTATGGGTTTCTCCTCATAAATCTAGCCAGTTTATTAATTTTATTAATATTCTTGAAGAACCAGCTTTTTGTTTCATTGATTTTCTGTTTTGTATTCCACTTATCAGATCTTTATTATTTCCTTTATTCTTCTCAGGTTGTGTTTTATTCTCTTTTTTTAAGGTGAAAGTTGAAGGAATAAATTTGATACCTTTTATATAAGTATTTGGTGCTGAAAATTTATATCTTAGTTGTTAATTTAGCTGCTTTCCACAAAGTTTGATGTGTATGCATTCTCATTAGTTCAAAATACTTTATTATTTTCCTTTATATTTGACTCATGGGTTACTTAGAGACCATAAAGACACAGAAAATAATTCTCCAAATATTTGGAAACCAAATCACACACTTCTAATTTTATTCTTTCATGGCCAGAGAACTTTAGACTGGGATACTTTTAAATTTATCGAGACTTTAAAGGTATTTTTCCATTGTGTTCTGGTTTGTAATATTTCTTCTTTGTTCTCTTGAATATGTATCTGTTTTCCTCTGGATGCCTTAAAGTATCCTATCTCTAATTTGATAATTATGTTCCTTGCTATAGTTTTGTTCATTTTTCTCATTCCTCAGGTTTGTTCATCTTGAGTCTGAGGATTTAGAGTTTTCAGAAAAAAACATTAGCTCTTATGTTATCTGTCCCACTCCTGCCCGTCCAAATACACATGGCAACTGTCCTGCCTTCCAGGGTTCCAGTCACATATACATTAGGCTACTTGAGGTTGTCTCAAACTCACTGATGCTATGTTCACTTTATCTGTTTTTCTTTATTAAATTTGATAGTTTCTATTTAAAATCTTTGAGTTCACTGATTCTCCTTCTTATATGCCCAATTTACCATTAACCCTACCTAGTGAATTTGTCATAATCAAACCTTTTAGATTTGGGTCTTCTTCATATCTTCCATGTCTGTCAATCTTCTCACTTCTTGAATATATAAGATATATTTTTGACTGCTTTTTTGTACTTGCCCTGTGTCATTTCTGGGTAGGTTTCCATTGGTTGAGTTTTCTCTTTGTTAGGATTATATTTTCTCCTTTCATTGCGTGTCTGGCTTTTTAAAAAAGTGTTAAATGCCAGATATTGGATGCCAAAATTTTTGTATTCCCAGAAACCTTCTTGAGCCCAATTCTGAAATGCAGTTACATTTTGTTAGACAAGATCAGAGCAATATTTATTTAAAGGCTCATTTTTTCCTATGTGCTAAAGTAAAAACCTTTGGTGTGCTCTACCCTCTGCCCCAGCAATTCTGAGATTTTTCTACTGTGGCTCTTGGGAACAGAAGCTATTCCTGGTCCTTTATGATTCCAAAGATTGTTCTCTCTAGTCTTGTTGGGTGCTGCTTTCCCCACTTATGGGTAGTTTTCATATATACATATTCTCGTCGGCACTATGGCGACAGCATGGTGGCACAGCAGGAATTCAAGAGCTGGGCTTGTTCCACTACCAATCCAACTCCCTGCTAATGACGTGGGAAAAGCAGGAGATAACTCAAGTTCTTGGGCACCTGCCACTCATGCAGATGACCAAGACGGAGTTCCAGGCTCCTAGGTCTGGTCTGGTCCAGCCCTAACCGATGTAGCCATTTAGGGAGTGAACCAGCAGAGGGAAGATGTCCCTTCTGTTTGTTTTTCAAATAAATAAATCTCAAAAAAATAAAGACTGGGGGCTGGCGCTGCGGCTCACTAGGCTAATTCTCCGCCTGCAGCGCTGGCACACCGGGTTCTAGTCCTGGTCGGGGCGCCAGATTCTGTCCAGGTTGCCCCTCTTCCAGGCCAGCTCTCTGCTGTGGCCCAGGAAGGCAGTGGAGGATGGCCCAAGTGCTTGGACCCTGCACCCACATGGGAGACCAGGAGAAGCACCTGGCTCCTGGCTTCAGATCGGTGTAGCACTGGCCGTAGCAGCCATTTGCGGGGGTGAACCAAGGGAAAAAGGAAGACCTTTTGCTCTGTTTCTCTCTCTCTAACTCCGCCTGTCAAAAAAATAAAAATAAAGACTGGAGGCAAGTTGGGGTGAGGGGTCCCCTCGGCCACTTTCCGTGGCTCACTCTCCCCCTGAATTCTTCTTTGTGAACTTTTGGTTGTCCTGATCTGCTCTTATTCCAGCTCCATTACCTCCACTTAGGGACATCACTGGGCTTGGCCTGGGTTTTCTCTCCCTGCACTACACCTGGATATTCTCTCTGTGTAGTAAGCTGGGCCAATTGTAGGACTTCTATCATTTGCTTTCAGGGATCCTTATCCTTCATTGTCTAAAATCCAGTGGTTTCACCTATTTTGGTTGTTTTTGGTGGGATGGTAAATCTGGGCTCTGTTACTCCATCTGGGCTAGGACTGGAAATGTCTGCCACAATGATCTTTAGGTATAAAAACCTCTTCCCAAGTTCTGGAAAATTTGGGAATGGTACAAAAAAAGAATTGCAACAAGATCAAGATTATCTTCAGAAATTTGAAATTTTGTGTTCCCTTGCACTAATTTTCTGTTAAAAAAAAAAAGGAAGTAAAAATGTTGGAAACCAGGTAGAACATTATGCATTCCCTGTTTTGGCAGTGGAAGGGATTCTCGGGCATACAGATGTTCTAACTTTCCCAAGGTTATATAACTAACCAGAGGCGGATTTGAGACTCAGGATTTGGTCTACAGATGCTCTGTCCTGTATTCTGCAAATCCCATGCTATATTGTTTTGCAGTCAATCTATATTACTTACATTTTATATTTACAAATTCAAGTACTTAGTAAAATTTATAATCCAAAGATCAATACTTAAAAGTGCTTTTAGCATTATGGACACTAATGGATAGTGAAAATCTGATTTACCAGACACAAAAGTTCCCAGCTGAGATAGACCAACATGACACTCTGCCTTTTTGTTTTAGCTGTCATTCTTTTAACAGAGGTTCTTTTTACCCAACGTTTTGCATGCTTGTGATTTTGTTGTTTAAAATGGCTCCAAAGCATGGGGCTAAAGCCTAGTTATCCCCGTGTGCAAGAGGCTATGATGTATGCACCCTACAAGAAAATACATAATTTAAATAAGCTTTGCTCAGGTATGAATTCCAGTCCTGTTGGTTATGAGTTTAATAGTGAGTCAACATTATTATTAAATAAGGTGTCTTTAAACAAATACACAGAAAATGAGGTGATGTATGGATCAGTTGATGAAAAGGTGAGCAGCATCTCACAGTAACCTAACCCTGTAATAACCCAACATAATTATTGGAAGTCATGAGGACCAACTGTACTTAGAATCCATTTCTACAAAGAACTCATGAATTTGTAACTTACGGTAAGATTTAGCTCTTTTTCCACTATGAGAAGATATTTGTGGAGGGATATAGGTGATACCTCGCAGGCAACCTGAGTATATCATGCAAAGGATGAGTTTTCTTCCTGCCCATCCAGGGGTCTGAAGTTGCATTTTCCTGACGTTCATTTTGCTCTGTTTTGGTAGGTACCCATGCCAGACTCTCTACAAAGCACACAAATTTTGAGGAGAGGGTTTATAACATCTCAGTCCGCATCAGTGATATGGGCCGGCCACCCTTGGAAGGGACTGTCACTTTACCAGGTAGGTATTTAGCCATGGGCAACTTAGGATAGTATCTGTAAGCATGGGCAGTTTGAAGGAATTCTTGTGTTTCACATGGGATTCTGCCACTTTTCACTTGAACATTTGCTCTACCAAACACTGTTCTGCTTTCAGTTACTTTCTGTTCATGTGTGGAAGAAAGGTGTTTCCGGCCAGCACCGAAACAGTCGGGAATACCCACTGTGGGCATGGCAGTTGGAATCCTCCTGACCACCTTTCTGATCATTGGTGAGTATAACTTCTCACAGTTAAGGATTTCTGTCCTGCGCTGGTCTGGTGGCTGCTCAGACGTCCACTGGTGATTTATATTCCTGCCTAGTGCCTGAGTTGACCACATCATATTTTCCAGGTTGGAAGACAGTGCATTAGTACCACCCTCTACCTATCACTGCATCATTGGTTAGTTTAGGAAACAGGAAAAGCTTTAAAGCATAAGTTTATTATGTCTGGTTAGCAAACTTTCATGATGGGAGAGGAATGCAGTAGCTGTGTCCCTGCTATGTGTCAGGCACCATGCTTGCAAAAACCAATGGCTAAGACATACCCAGATCTTACAGTGTTCGTCATTGTTGCAACAGAGACACATTAGCTTTCCCATGGAAATGCTAATGTACCTGAAATGCTGTAGAACTTCCCTTTGTATATCTTCATGACTGTGGACCCTGTTCTTTATGACCCAGAATAACTCTACTGTATCACAGCCTTGACTGCTATGGCCCCTGGCCACAAAGCAGAGTCCCCTCTTCTGTCTCACACTGGCGCTCCCTCCCTTCCCCCTAGAAACAACTCAGTGCTCACTACAGTAACTACCCTCTTTCAACTGTTGTCTTCAAAACAAATGTATTAGAAATATATATTCCATTAATTTATAAGCACAGTTTCATGTCCTTTCTCTCTTGAATGAAGAACTGGGATAATTGTAAATATTCCTGGTTGTTCTCTACCTCTGGCCTTTTCTAACCTTAACCTGCCAATGTGAACTCTTGATTATGGGTCTAACAGGGATCTTATTTCCTTATATTCTTAAGTACAAAGTCCTTATGACATGGCCGTGACCCACCCTAACATGTGCATGGTACCATCGTGTCTCCCTATGCACTACTGTGTACCTTTCATACCAATGGAGCTCTACTTCTATGCTTTTTCTTACAGTATTTGTTCTCCCATCTTGAATGGATTGAATTTCTGGACCAATTTTCTTATCCATTTAATCTCATAATATTACCACTAGTAAAGATTGCATGATTTGGGGGATATATAGAAACAATAGGACTTTAAGTGTCAGACCCCATTCTTTTCAAAACAGGGAATGAATTATTGCAAGATTCTGAATGAGTTTCTGAGCACATAGCCTTTTCTGCCATGATTCTTCCTGTAAACCTACTGACAGACTCAATTTCTTTAAAACAAATGAACTGAAGAACCCTCTTTTTTCACCATGGGCCCTGACTGACAGTACATATTTACTGCTGAGATGGGAGAAACCAGAAAGCTTAGGTATTTTAGGTTTTCTACTCAGTAGCATAGCCTGGATCCATAAAGAAGGGGAAGAAGGACAGGCATCAATATTTATTGAGGGTCTATATGTTCAGGAGCTCTGTAAGATGCTTATACTCATGCTTAGACTCAGGTTAGGAATGATTTTGAACTTGATGCACACTCATAGTTACGGTGGTATACTTACTTACCCAAAAAAGCCAGTGCCCGAGTCCCTCATTCATTAAGACAATGAGACTTTGTTTAACTACAAACAAAACGAAGTTACATGAGTCATTTTTTCCTACCAAGATACTGCTTCAGCAATGAATGTGACAGTACATTTTAAGATTCCATCAATTTGACCTTGGCTTCTCTCTTTTAGGGATAATTTTAGCAGTCGTGTTTATCCGCATGAAGAAGAATAACAGCAAAGATAATGTTGAAAATGCTCAGGCACCTGAAGCCAGACCCCTGAGAAGCTGATTTTGAAAGCAATGTTTAAGTTTATACATCAAGTGCTATTTCAATAACACAGCAGTTAGTCTCATAATTTTACTTTTCATCCAGCAGATGAATATTTACAGCAGAGGAATATTTACAGATATTCCTTCTTGCCATTTAATTTTATACTACTTATATGTTTCATGTGCCATGGACATTAGAGAGATTTTCCATTTTCCCATGACATTTTTCCCTTCTGCAAACCCCCAAACCAGAAATGTCTGTGGTTTTCTCCTTTGGGGAAGGATGTGCTGATTAAATTCCCTGTACATTTTTTTTTTTCTTCATCACGAAGATTTATCAGTTGTCTACTACAGAACTTCCTGGATTCCATTTATGCTTTTTCTCATTCCAACCTGTGTTCCCTTCATCAATATCTCCTTTGGTAGAGCTCACTGAATTTATAACATTTGTCAGAGAAAAGAAAAAAGAGCGGCCTCAGGAGGAAAAAATAAAAGAGCATCCTTGTCCCTTAGTACCAACAGGAACTCTTCTGTGTTGTTATTAACTGTCTTTAACCCCGCATGGCTGATGGGTGCTCTTTGACTGAAGTTCATCAACTTGGGGATTGGGGATGTATGGAACAAAGTTATTGTTTCCACAGAGGCCTCCTTCCCAAACCTCGGTACTGGAGCCAACAGGTGGCTCAAGTCTACTCACTACCCATCATGCTATATGCTGCATGTGTCGTCTCTATTTGTGTATTAATAAAACTTTGGTTATTGTATATTTAACATGTGGAAGAAAATGAGGAAGCATGAAAGGAGCAGTGACAAAAGTCAAGAATAAATGTTGGTTGTGGTGGTTTTTGTGGCCCTGCTCAGTCTCTTTGGCTGTGTTTTCTGGTTCTTTTCATCTGTTTAGGGGATGGACTGCCTAACAACGGTTACCTACTGTTTATCAAAACTGCCTCCCCTGTAGAATTAGCACATGTGGAGAGCCCCACAGTAAAATAAAATTCCTTGATAATGGATCCAGGTGTTCTAGGGAAGTATACCAGAAATGTTAAATCCAAGAACCTTAGAAATGTCAAAGCATTCTGGACTTGGAGCTATCCTCCAGCTCCTGATTTGAACATGGAATTTAAACCATGATGAACCCAACTGTGAAAGATGTTCAAGCAGGCTAAGGGCTGGATTTTTCACAAATAATCTTCTTTATGATCTGTATTTTTAAAAGGCAAGATAAGTAAATATCCAGAGTCTGTTTTGAAGTGCTCAGGATCACTTTCTTCTATTATACTGTGCTTCAAACTCTAACCTGACTTTTCACACAGGGCTTATGGGAAGCTTAATGGTAAAGGTATCTCCTATCTTAGCTCACATTCAAAGACTAAAAAAAAAAATCCAAGAGTACCAAAGCAAATTTACTTTGCAGATTGTGCCCTAAGCTGAGCAGTAGTGCAACTTTCTCATCAGCTCTGCAAGTATTTTACTTGTATGTTTTTAACCAGTGGGGAACTGTGGTAGGACATTTAGACCAATTCAATTCGCATTATTGCTTGTCCTGCTTATAGCATTGCTAAGACAGAGGCAGTCCTGAGGCTGCTCAGCCGTGGTGGACTCATGGCATCTCTCTGGGCTCCATTCCACACTGTGCAGGTGCTGGTATCACCTGGCAGCAGGCTGACCGTGCAGAACCGTGTAGAATCACTGATTAGGATTCACACTACTCATTCTGTTTCCTCCCCAGATAGGTCTCCCCTCTCTCTCAACTTTCTCATCCTTCTCTGGCCAGATCATATCCTTCTTAAAAGCTCAAACAGGTTTAAGTACTGGTCCCTCAGGGAAACATCCTGATTTCTACCAGATCATCAGGATACTGCATTATCTAAATTTCTACACTCTGGTGAGGAAAATGATTTCCTCAGCCAGGATCCATTCCCTCTCTGGGAAAAGAAGTTGGATTTCCCACTGGGACAACATCTGAGCAAGACCCCACACATAGTCTGTACGGTTTGGGTAGAGCCAACCTCTTGTTTTTCTGTTTTTCCTCTGATCTGGAGTTGAGCTCATTGAAATTCTTAGAAAAGAGCTTTATTTATCACTTGGAAATTCTAAGCTAACTAGAAGTAAACTTGTGACATTCTGGTTACCGTAAGAGATCAGTCTTCCCCAGAACGAAGACCACAGAGATTCCAGAGATGAGAGGATAAATTTTTCAAGATGTTCAGTACCTGGGTCCAGCTGAGTCTGAAGGCAAACTCATCCTGGACTTTTCTATCCTGTCAGCCAATACATTTTTTGAACTTAAAAAACAAGGAATGTCTGCCCCTTGCGATCAAAAGAGTAGATATTTTTGCCTCATGTTTGGCCTTTCTCCTATTCCACAGTGAACAGTCCACAGTCTGTCTGATTCCCGGTATGGTTTGAGCAGAATTCGACTCCTCAGACTCATGCAGATGTTTAAATCCTAATGTCTTATGTGAGCAGTTAATGGATGAATATTAATACTTGAGGGATTAAGAGTGCAGGCTTCATCCAACTGCTGTATCTGAAAGTGGGCTTTTGGGAAACAGTTCAGTTGAACTAGGTTGCCGGGTGGAGCCCCTGAAGGACACAGAAGACGAGCCTGCTCTGTGTCTCTCTGCTTCCTGGCTCACCATGGGATCATCCCTCCACCATCCCCATCAGATTCCAACTAACGGAGTCACCCATCTCGGCCTATGAACCCCCAAAACTCTAAGCTGAAATAAACCTCCTTCCTCTCCTAGGAAGCTCCTCTCAGGAACTTTAGTTGTGTTACCAAAAGGCTGGCTCATACACTTCCCAGTGAGTCTTGGATTTCTCAGAATCTCTCAATGCTACCGTGTGAATGCAAGTTCTGGCTCCTCTAATGGCTTTTCCACAATTTTTAGAAAGAATAGATGAAATAGCTAATTCATTTTGGCCACTTATGCTATCACTTCAGTGCCACCCATTTGATAAAATCTAAAGGAAATGGCATACCACTTATCCTTTGTGTTTACTTACAGTATTCTCAAAGATCCCTTAAATTCCCACTCCTTTTCCCCACACACAAACCCTGACACTCTCTTCAAACCTCCTTGGAGTAGGCTATCGTGGTAAATGAGAATTTCTGGGTGGTCAGGAAATAGCTGTGAGAGAAAAAGGGGCTGGGGGTAGGGTGGGGATGAAAGTGGAGACCATGAGCAGCTGTGTAGAAGTCTAAGGGGTTTCTGTGGAGCCATAGATGGAGAGTGGAGGTATGCTGAAGGATCATGGTACCGAAAATTCACAAGCAGAATGATGAGATTACCTCTGAAATAGATAATACAAGAAAGGAATGGTTGCTTGCAGGGTGCTGTGCAATGTGACAGGAATCATGGGAGCTTAGTAAACTGGAAACCTTAACATTTACCTGAAAGGACATAGTACCTTATAATATCAACTTTAAAAAGCCATTTTAAGATTGGCTGAATAGATATAAAGAAAACAAGACCTAACGATATATGCTGTCTGCAAGAAATTCATTTCACTGTAAAGATACACAGAATCTCCAAGTGAAAGAATACAGAAATTCCATGCAAAGGAAAACAAAGTAGGCAGACTTAAAATAGACTTTAAGACAACAATTGTAAAGACAGACAAAGTTACTATAATAATTAAGGGATTAATTCAATAAGAAGATATAATGATTATAAATGTGTATGCACCTAATGCTGGAGCACAGAACTTTACAGAATAAACATTATTAGATCTAAATGGAGAGAAAACTCCAAAATGACCTCCACTCCTTTCATCAATGGACAGACCAAAAAAAAAAAAAAAAAACTACAGTGAAGACCAAATGTACCTGACAGACATATACGGCACATTTCATCCAGTAGCTGCAAAATACATTCTTTTCATCAGTACATGGAGCACTATCAAAGACCATATATATTAAGCTATAAGTCCCAATAAATTAAAACCAAAGTAATAGAATATATCTTTTATGACCACAACAGACTAAAATTAGAACAAAGCAAACTTTGGAAATAACAAAAACACATGAAGGCTGAACAATAGGTCATTGAAGAAATCAAAAGGCAAATTTTTTAAATTTCTTGGAAACAAAAATGGAAACAGAACATACCAAAACCCATGGGATAGAGCAAAAGGCAGTATGAAGAGAGACATTTAATAGCAATAAGCACTTCCAATAAACAATGTAGCAGTGCAGCATCTCAAGGACATAGAAAAGCAAGAACCAAAGTTACTGGAAGGAAAGAAATAACAGATTAGAGAAGAAATAAATGGAGACAAAAAAATACAAAAGGTGAGGGCTTTATGGTACAGTTATTAACATGCTTGAGACGTCCACATCCCATATTGGACTGCTTGGGTGTGAATCCTCACTCTGTTTCAAATCCAGCTGCTTGCTAATGTACACCCTGGGAGGCAGCAGGTGATGGCTCAGGTACCTGGGTCCCTATCACTTATTTAGGAGACCTGGATGGAATTCTGGACTCATGGCTTTGGCTGGGCACAGACCTGTCTGTTGTGGGAATTGGGGGAGTGGATGGGAGATCTCTGTCTCTGCCATTCAAATAAGTAAAGTCTCCCAATATAGCACAGATTCAGATAGTTTCACTGCCAAATTCTCCCTATTAAGGAAAGATTAACACCAATTCTTCTCAAACTATTCAAATAATAATAAATAATAAAAAGGGTTCCCAAACTCATTCTATGAATCCAGTGTTACCCTGAAAACAGAATAGACCAAGACAGAAAAAAGAAAATTCTACACTATATCCCTGATGAACACAGATGCAAAGATATTTAACAATACTGAAAAACTGAATCAAACATCACATAAATCCCACTTGATTAGTGAGTGATCTTTTTTATCTCAAGGAGGCAGGGATGGGTCAACACACAAAAATAAATAAATTCAATACATCATCAACAAAATGAAGTATAAAAATCATATCATCTCAATAGGAAAAAATGTATAATAAAATTTAATATCCATTCATAATAAAAATCCTGAATACTTTAGGTATGGAAGGGAGATATCTCAATATAGTAAAGCCTATATATGACAATCACATAGCCACCATCATCATAAATGATGAAAAGCTGAAAGCATTTCCTCTATTATCTGTAACCTGAAAAGGAATTTTAGGTTTTTTTTCATCTGTTACTCAATATAGTGCTAGGAATTTTGTGCAGAACAACTAGGCAACAGAAAGAGACATACAAGGAGGAAAAGAGGATGTCAAATTATCCCTGTGTACAGATGACATGACTTTATATATAGAAAAACCTAAAGATTCCACCAAAAACCTAACAGAACTGATAAACAGAGTCAGTAAAGTAGGAAGGTATAAAATCAACATGCAGAAATCCGTGTCATTTTTATATCCCAATGATAAACTTTCTGAGAAAGACATGATAAGAGTAGTACCATTTAGGATAGCTTACAGCAACACCAAAGCCTGCCTTAGAACAAATCTAAGCAAGGATATGAAAAGATTTCTATAATGAAAACTACAAAACACCAATGAAAACAGTTGAAGATGACACACACAAAAGTGGAAAGACTTCCTAAGTTCATGGATTGGAGGAATTACTATCATTAAAATATCCATATTATCCAAAGCAATTAATAGATACAGCATAATCCCCATCAAATTACCAAGGGCATTCTTCATAGCTAAAATAAATAAATAAATAAATAGCAATCTTAAACTCATATAGAAGTCCAGAAGAGCCAAAGTAAACTTGAACAAAAAGAATAAAACTGGAGCAATACTTGATTTCAAGACATATTACAGATCTATAGCAACTAAAACAGCATGGTATTGGGATAAAAACAGATGTATAGAGTTATGGAACAATATGTAGATCCCAAAATGAATTCATACATCTACAGCCAATCAATTCTTGACAAAGATACCAAAAATGTACATTGGAGGAAGATATTCTCTTCCATAAATGGTGGTGGGAAAAATGGATGTCTATGTGCAGGATTGAAATTTGACACCTCTGCTCCCCACCCAAGCTTGACTCACCCTGTACAAAAATCAACTCCAAATTGATCAAAGACCTAAATGCAAGACTTAAAAGTATTAGAAGAAAACATGGGGGGAATACTTGAAGACATTAGTATAGGCAACACCTTCTTTGGATAAGATCTCAAAAACATAGGCAACAGAAGCAAAATTTGACAAAAGGAGTTATATCAAACTTCTGCAAGGTAAAGGAAACAATCGAGCAAAAAAACTGAGAATAGGAGAAACTATTCATCTGACAAAGGATTACTATCTAGAATAGAAAAGGAACCCAAAAACATAAGAACAAAGATAATACAGTAAAGTGGAGGAAGAAGCTGGATACTTCACAAAAGAAGAAACACAAATAGCAAATGATATATGAAGAAATACTCTATCACTAGCCATCAGAGAAAAGCAAATTGAAGCCATAATGAGAAATCCCTATCAAAATACTAATGATTTAGAGTACAAAGGAGGATTCTGAGATGGTGGAATAAGGAGGGAGCTTACTGCTCTAGTCTAGAGAAAGATAGTTTTAAAAAAAAGTGGAGAGCGTGTAATCTCAGGG